AACTTGAAATAAAAATACATTTATGAAACAAAATTAAAATGTTTTTTATATACATATATAAACATGAAATATTATTTTTGGGTCTTGTATATTATTTGAAACCGTAAGGAGAGTAAGTGATTATTAAAAAATTATAAATAGACAAAATTTGCATTTTATGGATGATAAAAAGGTTTTAGAGATTTTAAATTAATGTACTAAAACATATAAAGTAATAAATTCAAATCTCGAACAAATATGTATATATATATCGTAATCATTTCTTATAAATACCATTTCCTAATGTAATTTTCCAAGATATTAAAGATCATAATGACAAAAAAAAACTAAATTTATCAAAAGTAACAGGCTTTGTGTTTCTTAAACTACATACATTTATGAAAGTTCTTGTGAAGTTTCAAACAGTTTCATCCACTAGTTTTATTGTTGGAACAAAATATAGCAAGACTTGCGTTGGCCAGGCAGAAAGTTAGTAGCCGGTGGTCATCAGGTTAAGACAACAGAGCACATAAAAGTAAAGGAAATACTCCGTGCTGCTTAAGGAAAAAATATTTTGAATAACCAGATAATATTTTTTACTACTATATTTTAGTATTTTCTAAATTTTCACTAAAATGTTTTATGCAGAAGGGAAAACATGAATACTTTTCATTAATAAAAGTATGAAGTGATTAGAAAACTTATCAGTCCACTTTTGTGCAACTTTATACTGACCTAGTCACCAATTCACGTAGAAGATTATTTTAGCAACTTCAACAAATTAAAATGTTTTATAGCTTTATTATTGTTTTTCTATTAATTTGCATGAACATACCTGATACAGTTTTTTTTTTCTTTTTCTAAAAGCATGCTGCAGAACTGGAGAAAAAACAGAATGATTCAGAAAACAAGAAGCTTATAGGAACTGTGATCCAGTATGGTGGAGTTATTCAGGTTTGTAACTTATTTCATAAGTTCAAATAATTTTATTCGTATTATTTGCCAGTGAAATAAGTTTTTGGTGTTAGTATGAATTTATTTTAAAAATTGTATCTATAACATAAAAGGCATAAGATCTCATTATGTTTATCCATAACAATTTGTGTTCTAATTAACCCTTATACTAGCAAAACAGCTTAAATATTAATATGTTTTTCATTGTTCTAATTCACTGAAAATTTCATACTTAATCATGTTTATTAATCATTTCCCACAATGGGTCAATTGTAAATTTACAGGACTTACAATGTTAAAATTTGGGGTTTGATTACCTGTGGTGAACAGAGTGCATATAGTCCATTATGGGACTTTTTGTTGAAACAAACTCACAAACTCATATTGGTAGGTAAAATCAAACTTTAGTGAATGAGAAATAGAAACCACGGATATATTTTCTTTAATAGTAAGTTGTTTTTTCATAGTTTTCTTAGTAAATAAACTCTAACTTATTTGTGCAAAGTATGATGGCATAGTAAGCTTATAGAAAAATGATCACAGTTTCTCACAAAATAAAATAAACAAAATATCTAAGTGAAGTTGTATATACAACTGAAAACTAACAATCATACCATGTGGAAAATGTTGAACACTTAAAATCAAACATTATAAACATGCAGGCTGTAAATAGTTTAGCCTGCAAATCAACCATCTGGGTTTTCTTTGAAATAAAACACGAGTTTCTAAAAATGCACACTGCACTGTGCATAAATGAGACATCGCTCAATCATCATCATGTGGTTTAAATTTAAATCATGCTGAGTTACATTTAATGGAGGTATTTTAGAACTTCATCATATCTTAAGGCAAAATAAATGCACATAAATTAAATTTACAATTTATTTCTGTAATATTTTGTGTGACCACCTTTAGCTGAAATCATGTCAGTGAGAATTTAAGTACTTTCCAGAGTTGTTTCTTGATCAAGACAATCCCACACACAATCAACAATATTGAGGTCTGGTCTCTGTGGAAGCTGTACTAAGCATGCAAGGGTTTCATCTGCATCCTTTCCATTAAGATTACTGTTTTATTCTGTTCATTGTATGTTTGAGATGATTATCATTCTGTAAAATGAAAATTCTTTCACTAAATGTCATCTGGAAGGAAGAGCACAGTGAAGAAGTGTTTGCTTATTTTGGGTAGAATCCAGGAATTCATCAGTATGGTAGAGATGCCAGAAGTGAGTCAACTGTATATAGCAGTCCATATACGAAATCAAAACTGGAACATACCTTCTGAGAATAGATTTAAAAAAAAGACCCAAAACTCAAGCACTTTCCAGTAGTTGACTATTCTTCTTCAGGAAGATAGTCAACTATTTGAAAACGCTCTATTTTTGCGTCTTTTTGAAATTAATTGCACCTTTTCTGTGTGATCCTGTATGCTAGATATATGATGATTTAAACTGTGTCTCAACTGCTACTCTGACTGGTCTGATAAGGCACGGTATTGGGAAAAGGCCCTGAAGGCACTGGATATAATGTATTTAAGATGCTGATATACTTCCTTATGTAGTTTTAGTCATGAATTCTTAAAACTATTTCTATTCTAATCATAACTAAATTGATCTGATGAACAACAAAATGCCTGAATTGTACAGACTGGCAAGAGCACTGAAGAAAAAGTCAGCATTGAACATAAACATTATCTTAAGTGCTAATCCAAAAAAGAAAAAATTGTGACCAGTAATCATAATAACACATACACTAATAAAAATGTACTTTTAATAGCTCTACTTTGTATTCTTTCTTGTAGAATTTGATAGTACATTTGCTACTAATAGTTGTTCTTATACTAAAAGATGTGTTAATAATGAATGTATACTATCTTTAACAATGTTGACAAAGAGAAACCAAAATAACATCTTTACTTGCAATTTAAAGAGATGAAATTTAGTAATGTGGCCATTAGTAGTAATTGGTTATACAAGTATAATAAATTTCAAAGTCATAAAGTAAATAAATTTGTTTTAAAAATGGATATTAAAAGGGTATAGATGAAAGGGAATTGTTTCACAAAACACAGCCACATTTATTCCTCAGTATCAAATCACTTTTAATATAGTAATAGATTTTATAGAAAAATTTCAAGCAAAATAAAAAAACATGGTTTGAAATATTTATATTTAAGTGATTAGCTAGCTTCTTATAATTATTTTTTAAGGTGAAAGTTCTCTTATCCACAATGGATTCCCTAAAGAATAAAGTATTGTAAACTTAAGTTTAGGTTTCAGTTTTTTCAAAAACTAAGTGCATATAATTATTTTAATTTGTTTATCATAGCTTCTACACATTAAGAGCAACAAATACTTGACTGTCAATAAACGACTTCCTGCACTACTAGAGAAAAATGCCATGCGAGTGTACCTGGACTCCGCTGGAGATGAAGGATCATGGTTTTATATTGTGCCTTTCTACAAACTACGTACTACAGGTGATAATGTAAGTGTTTTTAGTTTCACCTTTTTATACACACATAAAATAAAGTACAGACATTTCTGGTAGAATATAATTTATAAAAAGTAACCTTAACTCATAAATATTTAAAGTTAAATACAATATCCATTTCAATACATTTCAAGGTGATTAGTGAGAATTTTTTTTTACAAATATTGAATGTTTTTTAACATACAGTCAAAACGAACAGTAAAAACTTTAATTTTTTTACTGTTGTTATACTATTACTATTTAAAAACCTTTTTAATATATAAAGTTATCTAAATATATACTACTTCAATTATAGTACTTCAGTGTTTTAACCCCCTTAAACACACTTTTGCACAAGTCCCTGTGTTACATTTATAATTTAATTAACTCTTTCAGCACAGGCTCAGTCCCTGGGACCGACCTTGTAACCATTTTGTGCTGTTATAGTTTTTATGCTATAACTTTTAAATTATTAAGCGAATGTTACTGAAATTTGGCACATTATCAGTAAACATTACAATGTCAATTTTTTTATAAAGTCTTAAGGTTTGTAAAGCAATGTTTTCATCGTGCCTTATTTTGATTTTCACATGTTGCCTATCTAACACACAAAGTAATTTTCATTGTAAGATTAAAAATACATTTATGCATCAGAAAATGTTCAAATTTCACGTGTGAAATCTTTATAATGTCCAGATAGTTATCAAACGTTTCTTAAGAAAAAACTTTATATTTTATCTGTTATATTCATCAATGAAGCTCTGTAAGGGTTCGGTAGATTTGACCAATCTCATAACCACCATAAATTGTTCCTTTTTCATTCTAAAATGAACACAAATTATAACAT